GGTCAGCAAAGGTGTCAAGGTCAGTGAAGATGTCAAGGTCATTGAAGGTGTCAAGGTCAGCAAAGGTGTCAAGGTCAGTGAAGATGTCAAGGTCAGTGAAGGTGTCAAGGTCAATAAAAATATCAAGGTCAGTGAAGGTGTCAAGGGCAATGAAGATGTCAAGGTCAATGAAGGTGTCAAGATCAATAAAAGTGTCAAGGTCAGTGAAGGTGTCAAGGGCAATGAAGGTGTCAAGGTCAGTGAAGGCAAAAGCACTACACATACCACTATGTGCATATTGAGATGGGTCCAATTTAAAAGACTGACTGTATCATGCATCAGTGAAAACATCTGTGAGGTAACAAGGATATAAAATGGTCCAAGCACTTTGGAAAACAATTCCTCATTTTCTTAAAAAGCAAAGCATCCTCAACACAATGATACAGTCATTCCAACTCTAGACATTTACCTAAAAGAAGTGAGACCATGTGTTCCTACAAAAGCTCGGACTAGAATGGTCAGTGTAGTTAGTATGTTCATGGTAGAAGGTAATGGCCAAAAGCTAGAAACCATGCGAACATCTAAGAGCTTGACGGATAACCTCACCATGGGATAGTGATGGGGGGACACTGATATGTCTACATCATGAGTGAACCTAATAAAAATGATTTTCAATCAAAACAGAGAATGTGGATTCTACATATACACAGCTCTAGGACATAAAACTAACCTGTAGGCAAAGGTTTCCTAGTGGTGGGAGACTCAGAAAAGGAGGGAGGGACCCCAACAGGGCAGAGAGAACCCCAGGAAGTGCTGGCTATATCCATGTAGTGGTAGATTCATAAATAGATACATGCCAAACTTTAGGAAATGGCATACTTTAAGGATGTCTAACTCACTTTATATTGATTATGCCTCCATAAAACTATCTTCTTATTTCAAAATGCAAACAATAAGAATGATCTACTAAGACAACACTATAACCTTGAGATGCCCCCTTTTACATCTTAACAACTATAGGGAAGTAAGACAGGTAATAAGGACAAAGTTTTTAATTTTTCTAAAACTGACTCTGCTGAATACTTACCAAATAGCCCATGGTTCTAATAAGGAATTTACAGTAGCTTGTACACTGAATCCACCCAGGGATGTCTCCTTTTTAACCAAAAGTATTTCTAAACCTAGGGTAGAATAAATATTTGCCTCAGTTATGTTCCTCACAATGTGCACCTCATGACCTTTTATCTCTCTCCTCTCTCCACTCAGACTGAAAACAGACTAAATCACTACCAAAAACAAAAGAACAATTTACTGTGTTTCCCGTTGCTCACATCAATCTCTCCATACTTCCCAAAGCCCAGGAATCCAGTCGCCTTTGATGTCACTCAGCTTGGTGCCTAGATACAGAGTCAGGACCCTGGCCTGGGCAGAGGAGGGCTCATCTTGATGCTCTGTCAGCTTGTAAACCACTTCATATTCCCAATGAAGGAGTTCTTGGGTTTGAACAAGTTCAGTTCCCCAGTGCAGATCGATTAGCAAGTACCACTTCTCAGCAATGCGTTGAGACTACAATGGGAAAAAAAACAAAAAAACAAAAAAAAAAACAGGGAACTCTTCATATCTTCAAAGTAGACTGAAGACTCTAGAAGCTTGCTAATACATAATGCCTTCTACCACATAGGTGCCCGGTACTAATGACTGACCAGTGCAGCCAAGAGAGGACAAAGCCTCAAGGACATAGAATCCCTCTGAACTCTTTTTGTGGAGAAGGTAAGGGATGTGGGGCAGAGTCATGTTTCTAGAGAGAAATCCTCAATCAGCCAGCAGAGCCTGGGTCAAACCCTGCTTCCTGTCAGAGAGCATTCGACTCACGGTAAGACTGAAGAACACTCCCACTGGGCAGTTAGAACTGGCAAGGCAGCCAGCCAACAGGCAGAATGTAGGCGGCTCTCAGCCACTCTCAGCTCTGCACAGAGGAATGAGAGGAAACTGTGACCCAAAACTGACGCTTCCTCAGAGCATCACCCAGTGTTTCCAGCAGAGAACACAGCCCAGTGATAATGGAGCTTTGAAGTGTCTGGCCAGAGGCCAGTAGACATTGGAAGTGTTCTTTGGAGAATATCTGCTTTAGATTACTCCCTGTGTGAAGGAAGCCACACATACTGACTTTAGCCTTTCTCCAGCCTTCAGAATGCAGGGCCTTCAGGTTGACTGACCTCAATCCTGCTCTTTTGGCTTAGACCTAAATGTCAGGTGTAGTGAGCCTGGGTGTTTTTGTTGTGTTTTCTCCCTCTGGTACTGTGTATCACAACTCTACTATGTGCATTCCTTTTCTTCATTGTCTCCCTGCAAATGTTTTATTCCTGCTTTCCACAGCCCTGGAATGTTCTATTTCTTTTCTATGGATGTTTATTCTAAAGGTACAATGGAAGCCTAGGTCTACCTGATAATTAAATGATATTCTAAACTGCCTAACTACAAGCCTACTCATTAAAATTAACTAGTTAGTTTTCTGTTGCTGTGATGAAACATCATGACCAAGACAACTTATAGAAGGAAGAATTTATTGAAGCTTATGGTTCCAGAAGGTTGGAGTCCATCATGGCAGAAAGATATGGCAGCAGGAACAGGAAGCTGAGAGCTCACACCTTCTAGTGAAAGTATGAAGAGAAAGAGCAAACAAGAAGTGACATACTTCCTTCAACAAAGAAACTTAAACCTCCCCAAACAGCACCACCCACTGGGGACCAAGTGTTGAAATACCCAAGACTACAGAGGACATTTCTAGTTCAAACCACCCACCACTCTGGTTGAATTATAGGTCGAATGATATGCCACCCAAAATACTGAAGCATCTTTCTTGTCTCTTTAAAGGCCAAATTCATTTAATAATAGATTCTGCCACTCACATCATAGACTGCTCAAATACATGTTCTTGTCAATATTTTTACCAACATGTCCAAATATATGTGTGCTTGATTGTCCCTCTTTGTGAAGGGAGATTAGCTGGTGAGTGTCACTTAGGAACTAAATCTTTGCCACTCAAAGTGATGCCCTTGGATCAGCCTTTGCCATCACCTGACAGGCCATTAAGAAGATGATCAGGCATCAGCATAGACCAACAGAATCCAAATTTCATCATAAGAAGATCATCAGTGAGCCCTGTACCTATTTAAAGTTTATAAGGACTCTTTTAAATAGTTATTAGCCCCTTAGAGGTAAAAGAAAAATCAAGAGTTGCAACATGCTAACTGACAAAATTCTAAAACGGAACTTGAGCCAGTACACTGCCTAGTGCTTTCCAGTGGTTGGCTCTGCATCCATGAGTCCCTACTGGACCTTTGCCCCACAGAACTAAGAATGATGTTTGGCTAGATGAATTGGGCTCATTTATTCAAACATCAAAGGTACTGATCAATCAGCAGAGGCTTCTGTCAAGCCTTTCTAGGCTAGAAAATAGGTTGGCAATATTAAGGAATTTGGGTTGATCGTGAACTAAAAGGTCATTCTTGGCTCCATTTGAATGTGGATGTCAGGAAAACAACCTTCTGCATGGTGACCAGGATTGCCCTCAAGAGAGCTCATGCTGAAGGCTGTGCAGAGATGAGGCCGAACCCCATGACTGACAGGGCTGTTCAATGGGGCTGTGAGCATGCGGAATCTCACATCTGGAAACAAGCATAAAGTCACAGTGTTCTGCTCCCAACTTCACCCAATACTTAGCAGCTGATAATGAAGACTTTGCCTTTTCTGGCTCCTAAACATTCTAGTTGGCACGTGGAGGGTATCACATGCCCAGACTCAACAGAGTGTGGACAGAAACATTAAGAGGAAAAACTGCATCTCTACTGGACTTTCTCCTTTGTCCCTCTTCCCTACTTCATATGGTGTAACTATTTACACATTTCTAATACTGAGTATTACAGGAGATTCTTTGAAGTACTGAAGATATTCAGGCCACATGAAAATACAATTCCATGTCACATAAGGGACTTGAGCATCCAAAACTTCTGGTAATCTTGAAGAGTCCTGGAGTCAATCCCCATAGACACTGAGTCACAACTTGCCTGACTTCTGGATGTCCACTGCCATGTAGGGGTGAAGGGCAACAAAGAGACGAGAGAGACACCCTGGAATGTGGTGCCTGGCCCTGCCTGTGGTGATCAGTACACCTCAGAGCAGCCACTAACCTTTCAATTGGCCACATGAGCTCACCGCTCTCCCTTCTCTATACTCAGTCTGGCTCTTGATTTCTGTGTTAATATTCTACCTGGCACTAGAGCTCTGTCCAGCCTCTTGCCCACCTGTTGGGAATCCTTCTTAGGACCTTGCCAGACTCCCTCCAAAAGCCACAACTCACCCTCTGGACCTCTTAGGGTTGTTTTCCAGATGGGCAGTGGACTACATTTAACATACACAGTATTAGACTGTAAGTATTACCACTGCTAGGAAGTCCTAGCTGTTCTAGTCCACTTGAGAAATTACTCCATTTTCTTCTACTCTATGTAAGCATTTAATACTGCTTATGCGTTCTATTTGGTTCTTAGTCTTTAGTCAGAACGTTTTGAAACAATGGGTTTCATTATGACATTTTCATACATGTGCACCATTCATTCTGCTCATTTTCACCCATTCCTCTTGTTTGTCCTCCTGCCCTCTGACCCCTGCACCCCCAGACAGCCCCACTTCAACTTTGACACACACAAATATTGACAGATACATAAGATAGGTAGGTAGGTGGCTAGATAGACAAGGAGCCCACATAAGAGGGAAAATGTGATATTTTCCTTAGGCAGACTTATTAATTTAACATGGTGATTCCAGTCCCATCCATTTTTCTGAAGATGACATAATTTTGTACTTCTTTATGCCTGTAATAAAACTCCTCCATGTTCTGGCCACACAAAAGTACGTGTGGCACATACTTTTCATCTTAGCACTCCAGAGGCTGAAGCAGGAAGATGCATCATCTAGAGATTGATTTCTAGACCATCCAGGACTACATGAGACCTGTGAATGCAATGACAAGTTCACAGAAGACATTACAGAAGCCCTGGGGAACTTCCTGGCCACTACTTGACAGTTTCTGTGCCCATTGCCCCCCAACCCATGAGGTGTCTACAGACTAATGGGGAAAAGAGATAAACAAAGGACAACTGTAGCTTTTCTATAGGATGAATACAATAACAGATACAGGGGGCCCTGGGAGATAACTCAGTCAGTGAAGTCCTTGCTTTGCAAGCATGAGAACTTGAATTCCGCCTCCCAGAAACCATGCAATAATGATGATGATGATGATGATGATAATAATGATGATAATGATAATAATGAAAACTGAGCCTGGTGGCACACATTGTAATCCCAAAGCTGGGGAGACCGAGACAGACTGACTCCTGGGCATACTTTGTACTAAGCCTAGCCTAGTCACAAGCTCAATGCCAATGAGAGACCCAAGGCAAAGACAGTGGCTGAGGCGCGCCTCGGTCAAG